ACAATCTCGATTGGGAATTGTCTCAAGAGGGTTCTCAACATGAGTCATCGCTGGACGAAAGCTTTTCTAGTGGTGATTCAGAGTAATTCTGGTTTCTTTGGGTCATTTTGATCCAGTGTACAAGATATGTACTATGTTATAGTAGCTACGTGGTCAGTCTTCATACATTCTAGAATTCATCCACGTCCCCGCCGGCAGACCCAATCTTTCTTGGACTTTATTCCGCATGTAATAGGCGATGCAGGCCCTCTCTCCACCTTCAAAGTCTGCGCCATGTCGAATCACCTTCCCAGCAATAAGTACTATGGTTCCCGGATTGTAGTCCACTGATAACCCCAACCCCGTGAAGGTCATGATTCCGACGGAGTCTTCTTCTCCGAGCGCCGCGAGCAAATCAAGCCATTCGTTTCTACCCTTTGTATCACGATGCGCGGGGGTGCGTCGGTTGGCTATGACTGACAGTGCATTGAATGGGGAAGTCCAAACATTTAGGGCCTGCCTGAGCTGCTCTTCATTGTCCACAAATTTGGCGCCCTCACGAGAAAGTTGCGTTAGTGCGGTAATCCCCTGCTGATACAACTGAGGGTGAGCTATTCCAAGCATCGATCCCACCAGCGCCGAAGATTCTTGCATCTCAAGGGCCCACTGTGCTCCGGCGGCGCCATCTTTCATCTGCGCCCCGACTTCCAGTTTATACGTTTCAGACTGCGGGTTTTCACTAAATAAGGACCATCAATTGGCAAAAATAAACACACCTCATGACCCTGCTGAAACCACGCAGGTGACATACTGACGGTGCCTGGCTTGAGTTTGCAAAGTTCAGCCGGGCGGAAGTTCTTCGAATTTAGCCTCCAGTTTTTGGTATTACTATCCATTTTCAAAATCCCTTTCAAGATTTTCAATGATTTCCAAATGACATCCTATGAGAGCCATGAGTTGTGATAATACCCAACTCCGCCGGTGCTTACTTGTCGTGCGGCGGTCAGTATATGCGGAAGGTACCAAACAAGGACATTGCAGTGCACATCTGTCACCACAAGTGGCTTCGCTTCATGATGGGCGGGGTTGTAGATGGGGGGGTATCGTCGTGAAATTTTCTCTTCAGCACTCAGCTGCAACCCATTCATAGCAGCCCCTATAACGTCGCAATACCGACTAGCATCCCAAGATGTGCGTACTAGGTCCTATCAGATCCTGGCTGATAATGCAGAGACGGGCTCACTGGGATTGCGAAATGCTTCGACAAGTACCAAGGCGATGCGGTCAACCTCGCCGAGGAGATTAATGGACCAATGGGGAGGAAAGGGCACGTGTTCCTCACTGCCCCGTAGTAGTGCTCGAAATTTTCTCTGTAAATACTCCTCAAATTCGCGGGTTGTATTGAGGACCCCAATGTCTGGAGCCATCCGCGTATCGTTCATGGTCGAATGGGAAGAATGACCGACATGCCCTGCGAGGCTTCTCATCTTTGATTGGCCTCATGGCAACCTGCAGGTCAGCCCCTTACTGTAATTGATCATCCTGTATCCACCTTCTTGGTGCTTAACTACTGGTTAAACTACGCGTTCTTGGTCTTTAATTACTATGTATAGTAAATGTAGTATATTGACAGTGATCCGCAGGTCGCGCCGCCGGACCACAATATCCATCCTCGCCGCATGATAAGTGCCCGTCGGGGGGACAAGCGGCCGCCTCGAGCTGATGAGTGATTGTAAGGATCACGGCCCGACCATTACTAAGGCACAGTGTAAAATTGCGGCCGGTCCCGCTGGGTTCATGTGGCACGGTCGGTTGTCACATCCGGTTACTCCATTGGGTAAGGCACAGGTTCACTAACATATGTGTCGCTCCCTGTCCTTCGCCGGATGACTACACCCGCCGATACGGAGTGACCGCGGTTCGTTGATTGCCCTCCTACTGCTCTGAAGGAGGCTTATTGGATCGTAGGACTCGAAGGGCTGTAGCATCAGTTGTGATTATCGCTGGTTCGATACTCACCCCCGTCGTCTACAGGTTTTTCGCAATGCAGACGCTGGTCGTCATGCCATTGTTGAAGCGAGTCTTTTT